TCACTTATTTATAGTTAAAAAGTAGTAGTCTGCTTAAGTCTTGCTAAAAGTAGTCTCATTTAAACACATTTAGTGTAAAAGTATTGAATCAGCCATAAAATACATAGTGTAGGTGTAGCGGGTTGTACTCTCATGCATTGTGTATAGACGACATGGACAATCATTGACGACTCCGACATATTTTTATTTGGTCACAGCTGGTAGACAAATCGAGTAACATAGGTCAGTTAGCTCCCACAACTCAGCAAGACACAGACACATGCTTCTGTGCTCTGCAGACTGTTCATGCTAACTACCGCATGCTAACCAAAGTTACATCAACATAAAAAAATACTGTTACCTGATAGACAAATCGAGTAACAGTATCAGTTAGCTCCCACGGCTCAGCAAGACGCAGATGACACTGAAATAAAATGACAACATAAATTAAAACACACTGCCTGTAAAACCCGTTAAAATAAATATTACGGAGCTCGGTAAAACTCGACCTACCATGCTTCCATGCTCTGCAGACTGTTGTTCACTAATAGGGCGCACCCGTGAAGCCTGCAGGGGCCCGTCCCCATCACAATACGAAAACAACACACATTGTACAGGCAGGTGAAATATTTATAAATCAAAAGCAGTGTACCTCCAAGGATGACCAAAATAGTTAGTAATGGCAAGTGAGATCATTAAAACATTAACTCCGTTACATAGGTGCAGAATGTAAAGATTTAAGCAAAAATCATAGAAACAAATCCAAGGTTGCTGCATTTCAGCCACATTTCTCAGTCATTTCTCAGACATCTGTTTAACGGAACAGATTTACATCAATTTGAGTCCATGCAGCCCTCTCAGTTGACCATAATAGCTTGTGCTTAAGTCAGGTTTTACGATAACTGCAATCCAAAGGCTCTAGAAGAGTAAAAGAAGAGAGCATTTCTTAATGCAAAATGTTTAATTGTCAAGCTCCCTGCCATCAGGACATTATAACAAGAGTGCTCAAAGCATTGTAAGTTATGGCTGGAGCTGCTGTAGTCACACCTGTGTGTGCTGATAAATATCCAGGATATGCTATCTGTAATGCTTTACAAGATCACATGTCATAATTGCTCTTAAAGAGTATGTATACCCTTGACTTTTGCTTCGTTCCTTCCAGCCTGAACGTTTTCAAAATCCAATGTGCGGGATAAATGTAGCATGTGATGTTCTTGCACACAATATCTGTATTTTTGGAAAAATCGTTCTTATTAACGTCAATAACAAAATGTACATGGTGTAAAGGTTATGAAAATTGTGGTGCTCTGTACATTCAGCAAACATGCTGTTTTGTACTTTAAGGTTCAGACAAGATGCACATTATAATCATTATGTCTTTTTCTCCCTGAGCAGCACATAACAAACTGCAGCACCACTATATAACTTATTATACTTAGAACCTATTTCATTATTTCTCTTTCTTTGATTTGAACTATCTGTAACTCCTTAGTTCAAACTGATAACATAAAGTGAGATGTTTCCAACATAGCCCCAAGATGTTTAGAGACAAACACAAAAAGATCTTCTCAGAGGAAAGATTTGGTGTTAACACATTTTCTAGTTAGAGAAAGATATAAAGCCGTTTGTTTTCATAGTGGCAGCAATATGCTGCTGTAAAAGCGTTGCCATGTGTTTGTTGCTGACTCTTCAACACTGCATGTCCTGATGATGTAAGACTAAAAGCTTGAACTGACAATTAAAACTTATGCACTGAGACAGTGTTCAGGAGCTCTCTTCTTTTCCATTACTCTTCAAATCTGACTTGTGGACAGACAGTTCCTCCCTGCTGACTGAGGCTGCAGCGAGGGTGAGATGGAGAGCGAGGAAAGCCAGATGTGGATTTTTGTACACGACGCATCAGCTCTTTGCTGTCTAAGATAAAATGCTGATAATGCTGGCGCCCGAGGAGTCGTCGTGGAGTTACATGGCACAAGCATGCAATTGAGAGGTTAGAAGCCCACGTCCACAATGACTGATAGTTTGCTACTCATAATTTTTTTCCACAATCCTTCAGTCATGCAATATAAGAGCCTGGTGACTGTCTTACCACTGTGCCCTTGAGCCAGACCTCCAAACTCCAATAAAAAGTTCCACATGGACAGCAGGAGATGAATGTCTGACAGACAAACAGCCATTACATTGCATACAGAACCTCTCCACCAGACTATAAATACATCGCAGCCTCCCACGGTGGAGCCCAGATTGAGGCAGCGTGCTCCCTGGGGAAAGCCTGCACTTCATCCCATACAGCCTGTCGAACAGCATGTCCCACATCCTGCATGCTCCACTTTGTTTTGATAAAGCAGCCTCAGTGTGTTGTCCCCCTCTCGTCACTTGTTGAACAAGATGACACCTTCGATAAACTGTCAGGCCCTTTTTTGCACACTGTGGCGCGCTGACCTATTGAAGTTGCCACCATGTTAGATTTGGGTGATCAAGGTGTGATTACAGTGGACGCCCACTGTAGGTCAGAGGGTGTGTGTAAATGTGTGTGTGTAAGGGAATGTTGGGAGATAACTGTCAGTGTGTCAGCAGTGCAGGCCTTCCTCTCTAGAAAGATTGCGTTGCTAAGGGAACTGTTGCTAGGATGGCAGTCGCACCTCTCTCTCCTTCTTTATTCTCCCCTCTCTCTGTCTTTTCTCTCTCTCATCCCACGTGTCTATTCAGTGTAATCCTTGTACCTTATATGAGCCAAATGATGCACCCTTACAGCAAACACCTCAGGCTGGAGGAGCAAACTTGGCCTTTAAGTTGCACCTCTCCCTCCAGCTCTGCTTCATGACTCTGATTAGTCTCAGCATACCAGGCACGGCCATGATTACTGCAGGAAATGAGAGATGGAACGTACCATTTCATGCATATTCCAGAAAATGCGAGAGAAAAAAAAAAAAGTACCTGCTTAACAAATTGTGAGTGAAGGGGAATGTGTCAGATTAGACAGCTTACTGCTGAGTCAAACTTCAAGACGTGCCTTTCATTTTGCAGTAAGCCTACCCTTGTAGTAGAGAAGCTGCATCACCATATGGAGGATTCCTCATATACACAACCACACAGCAACAACAACAGTGTATGATAGGATAAGCAACAGCAGCTGCTGTCACTGTTAGTTAAAAAGAGGAAATGGGAGACATAACGTTGTATGCATTTTGTAATGCATGCATTTCTAACTGTAGTTGCAGGCTGGCTGCACAGCTGTCACTTCTGTTCTTTAATGGGTAAAGAAACACAGAGGATCAGTTTCTAAGTTTTCATGCACCCATGTCATTTTATAAAATAGCTGTTCTAAGTCAGTGGTTCCCAACTGGTGGGTCGCAGCCCAAAAGTGGGTAGCAGGTCCATTCTGAATAGAGCTCAAGTGACTTGCAAATGTGTCAGATTTGAAAAAACACAGTTTATTTTTAAGTCCAGTGAATTTGCGGCACAGAGTTTTTAATTTGAAGCACTGATTCCTGCTGTAGATTGAGTGACTAATGGATAGCTACTTGACAGTGACAGCAAACTGGCTCAACGACATGGCCAAACTCAACTATGATGCTAAATATATCAAACTGTGGACCTTGAACCAATAACTAAGGATAAATCTCGACCCTGTGGCTGGACCAGTTGGGAACCCCTGCTCTAAGTTATAACTATGTCTATACATTTATTTAGGGAGGCAAAGGGAACAACTGCCCAGGGTACCGAGGGTCCCCCAAAGGCCATATTTATTGTTTGTCAGCTTTTTTAAAAATGTATTATAATATTCTAATAATTTGATTACCAAATTGTTGATTTGATTACCAAATCAGTATCAGGTAATGATGTGAAAAGTTTCTTGTTTTAACAATTTTTCCACATTTTTACAAGATATTTTCATGTTATCACATCATACAAACATCATGGTACAAAAAACTTTTCTTATTAAAAAAAATAAAACTTTTCTTAAAATGTTTCATGTTTTATCAGGATAAATAGTATATTCTTAAATTAAGATAAGAAACTAAGTAGAAACTTTCCATGTTCTTATGATGGTTTCTAAGAAAGTCGATCACAAAAAGAAGAGTTTGTTGGGGAAACATTAAGTGAATGTACTGCAGATGACAGCCGCAACCCTCAAACGTCAGCAGGACTTTCAATCAATCAATCAATCAATTAACTGATGTTAATATGTTAGTTAGACATTGGGCCATATAACACCCCGCTGTCACCCCACTCTACTGCTGGTCACACCCACTCCCCCATTTCTCTCTCTCTCTCTGCCCACCACACACACACACACAGAGTCCCTCCCCACCAGCCAGTCGCTTGTGTAGCTGTGATTGCACATTGCAGAGCACAGCACACCTAGACATCCATTCACACCGAGATTCTGCTGCCCCCTCCCTCTCGCACTCTCTCCCTCCACCCCCCATCCCGGCGAGCTGCAGCCTTCCTCCCCGCCTCATCATGAGCCAGTAGCCGCTATCACCACCAGCCTGATGTCGCTTCTCCTCGACGGTGCAGCCCTCCAACTCCGCCGCCCGGAGCCTCCGCAGCAGCAGCGGCGGGGGTAACCGCGCTGCCGACCCCGCGTCCCCGCGCAGGAGAGGCGGCTGACGGGCTGCGGCTGCGGCGGCAAGGGAGTTGCACAGAGGGGAGGGAGGCGCGTCTTCTTTATCGCCGTCTCCCTTTTTCTCCTCTTTTCTTTCTCTCTCTCGCTCTCTTTTTATTTTCTTATTTTTTGGGGGGTGGGGGGTGGGGGGTCGTTTCTCTTCTGGAGATGCTTTCGCCGGGCTGCCGGGGCCGCTGTCATACCGTTTGAAAGAGACAGGCCGGCGAGAGGAGGAGGGGGAGGAGGAGGCAGCGGTGGTGGTGGGGTGGGGTCGGGGTTGCCCTGCCCTGCCCTGGCCGGACTAGCGCTCCTCCAACAGCATGAACCTCCATTCGGGCAGGGCGTCCGTGGCTATGCTGCGGATGATGGGCTGTGCTAACGGGCGCTCTGCTCGGCATCTCCTCCACAGTGACTGCGTGGTGGACGAGAAGACGGTGGTGCTCCAGAAAAAGGAGAATGAGGGATTTGGCTTCGTCCTGCGAGGAGCAAAAGGTAGGATCATGTACTAACTTTTTCTGCTTTTTGTATACTATTTGTCTGTTTCTGTCTCTCTCACCAAATCTACATAAATCTGCACATAAAGCACATGTTCACATTGCAAAATGTTCTCTGCTGCAGTTTTATGTGGTTTATGTGCAGTTTGGCTCATCTTAGATCCGCCTTAGAGGCTCAGGTGTGTGAGAATACATGATGAAATGGTGACCCCCCTTCCCCAAGAAGATTTAGGCTACACAAACATGCAAGGAAGTCTTACAATTAAAAATACACTTGCAACCAAGGTGTGACACCCCCCCCACCCCCCACCCCCCCCCCAATACCGGGAGAGTGTCAGATAAGTTGTGATGGCATGTGTTGTCAGGGACGCAGCTGACAGTAAAACCACCCAGACTTGTCCACATTGTAATATCCATAGGCCTATGTTTGTAATATGTTCTACCCACCTGCCAGGGCTGACATAAACCTCTGTAATATGACATCACTAGTTTCTTTTCTTGATAGCAAATCTGCTCTTGCTTTATGATTGGTGCGTACCTGCCTCAAAGCTCCACCATCATTTACCTCGTCCCACCACATCATGGATTGTTGTGACACGTGAGGCCTATCCAAGCACTTTGATATTTGACCAGGCCATGAGATTGGCTCTAAAAATAGCCAGTTTGAGCTGCTGCGTTGGTTTCTATGACGATTCTCGCCATGTCATAATCCACGTTGCATTCCACAACTGTGCGGTGCTGTTCGATTGGTCTACGCCATGGTTACTGTGTCGAGAGATAAATTTAGTATATTCATGTTCCCGTTTTTTAAGACATACACACACACACACACACACACACACACACACACACACACAGAAAAGGGGGAGGCAGAGACGGAGAGAGGGACTGACATGGAGGGAGAGGAGAGAGGATTTGGCTTGAAAAACAAGAGGAATGTTCTAGTCATTCTGACACACTCTGCTATCACCCCAGGGAACTGACCCAGCCGAGCTTATCCCTGCACGGGGGTGAACGCACACACAAACATGCACTGATGCTCGAGCTGTCACATAAGCTTACATCCTCTTTTGCTCTCTGCCGTTTTTTTTTGCTCCCCATCCATCTCTCTCTCCCTTTCTCCTTCTCTGTCTACATGTCACACATGCAGACAGACACCTAAAGAAACACAGCCATCACAGTCATGTAAATACCCTCATGAAACCCTCTTATGCGCTCGTGGACAGTGTCTTCCAGTAGGAGGATGAGTTATAGGAAGTGTCACTTGTCACCACTGGTTTCTCCCAGCCGCAATATTTTTTTTAACCTTCCCCAGAGCAAGAGAGGGAGGGTGGGCTCAAACCATGTGTGGGGAGAATGCAGAGATAGTACAGTACAGGCTGGATGGTTAACTGTTGTTGAGGAAATCAACCACAGCATTATAAAGATCACTAAATACAAAACAATGTACTGGTGTGCATGTGCTGTGTGAGCACAGTTATCTTTTTTATGTATGCTGCTTTGAAGTGTTCTAAGGGGGATAGTTCAGATTTTTTTGAAGTGGGGTTGTATGGGCTACTTACCCATAGACAGTATATTACATACAGTACATGTCAGTCGGCACGCCCCCAGTTTGGAGAAGCAGGCCAGAGTCTAACATGGAAGCTAAGCAATGTACTGTGGTGAAAGGGTCAGAAGCAAAACATATTTTAGCCACCTAAAAAAAGTGCCACCTAAAACAGTCAATATCACTTTAAGTGTAAGCTGTATTGAGAGTATTTTCACTGCTCGACATTACTATCAGACAGTGAGTTACAACAGGAAAATTAAGCTCACTTCAAAGCCAGACTCCATTGAGAAAAACGGTAATTTATTATTGCTTTAAACAGGAGCTGCCTGTCTACCACTGCGTCAGTCAGTTTTTATTATGTGCAAGGGTTGGTTCAGTCACACAATAACACAAACTAACTGATTGTGGCAGTGGTGGTGGCTTTGACAAGAGCATAGATGGGGTACTAAAGCTGTCAACATCTTCCCTGTCAGAACGGGCTGTCTGATGATAAGGTAAAGCTGTGAAAATACTCTCAATATAGCACATTCTTAAACTGATTTTTTTGGTGGGCCTTTTTTTATTTGGCTAAAATACACCTTGTTTCTGAACCCTCTACAGCAGACTCCAGCATGCTTCTCCAAACTGGGAAACTGACACCTGTTGTATGCGACACACTGATTATGGATAAGTACCTCATACAACCCCACTTCAAAAAATCCAAACCATCCTGTTAAAGTCAATAACACTGTTTTGTCTTGTGCCTTCCAATTTGAATAACTATATATTTTTTGTCTCCATTATTGTTATCACCTTTCATCTAATCTGTTTAAACCATACAGCTGGGTATCAACTTAAATGTAGCTCTAGCAATGAGTATCAAAAAACTGTCAAGTATGGCCATTCAGAAGCTTTCAGTAGATACTTAGTCTCATTTTTTTTATTCTTTCATCAGATAAATCATAATTTTGTACGAAACTATTTTATTTAGGCTGCACTGTATTGAGACAAAATTAAAGGGTAAAACCACCTAAAGTAAGAATATGTTATTTCCCCAGCCTTGGAAAATTCTGTCAATATTTGTGAACATGAGTTACTCTCTCTTAAAGCCAGAAACCAGAGAAGTAAGTCTTAAACTTGTGATGTCACAGGGAATACAGTCTGGAGCTGCTCCTTAGACAATGAATGGGCAGCTGATTTTGTGGACCCACAGAATTTATTTTGTTTGTTTGTTTGTTTTGTTTTTTTTGATACCCAAATGAGCTCTATTCTGTTGTTGAGTTCTCAAGTCCGAATCAGAAACTGTTCCCCATATACCCAGAATACTCTTGTGGTTGCTCTCAGTGTCAGTGTCATCTCTCACCATTATGGAGCAGCTCCAGATTATCCTATGACATCATAAATTGAGTTCTAGCACTCTAGCTGTTGGATTTGTGACAGAGTTGTTCCTGTTTACTAATATTTTTATGTCTTAGACCATAGGAATGACATGTATGAAATTTGAAAATGGGCGTAGAGGTCTTCAAAAATGTATTGTTTTAGTATCGTTACACAAACCAAGGTGCTGAAAATTGTCAAATGATACCAGTTGTATGAGATTTCAGCTCTCATCTGTTGACTGAAAAGTTGTATATGCCTCAAAATGACTTGATTTCATTCAGAAGGGTTATATGTGACATTATGGTTAAACCAGTGTGGGTCTTTGAATGCCAACACTGATGATTTTTCACTAAAACTGCATACTGTCAGTATGTTTTGTCAAATTTCAATTTAATTTCTTTATATATATATTAGGGATGTCCCGATCCAGCTTTTTCACTTCCGATCCGATACCGATATTACAGCCTTGAGTTTTGGCCAATACCGATACCAATCCAATCAAAGCGCGTATTATACATACTCACTTATTTTGTTGTCAGTCATGTTAGAAAAGGTTTGATCAAGCGATATTACTCTAACAAGAACAACTTAATCAGGTTAGTTAGAATGATCCACAACAGCTGGTATTAGAAACTGACCCGTTTATTGCGAACAGGGTTAAATAAACAAACTTTAAACTTGAACATTAACATTAAATAAAAAATATAGCTGGTTTGCTTTGGCTGCTTTGGCCCCTTAATAAATAGAAAATAAATCAACACAAGAAATCTTTAAAATGTCTAACATTGAAATTAAAATAGCAGCAAGACTCCACACACTTGTGCTTTGGCCCCCTAATAAATAAAAAATATATTAACACCACAAGACATTGTTGACATTTAACAAACAATGCAGCCTTTCCTTTTCAGTTATTTTAGTAGCGTCAGTGCCAGCCTGGTGCTGCTGTTTCCTGTGTGTCTGCATTCTGGCCTGGTGGATTGATAGTAAGTGCTGGAGCGGATCACTGAAATGGACTGCTTAAATCAGGGAGTGCTGGGCTGGCCGGAAAACCTGGATCGGACTCTGTGAAAAACTGGGTCGGAGTTCTGGATCGGCATTTTTCCATGCAGTCCGATCTGATGCCGATGCACATTTTTTGCTAATATCGGCGGCCGATATCGATCCGAACATCGGATCGGGACATCCCTAATATATATACTCATGTATATGCAAAATAATTCCTTTTAGTAAGTAAATTTTCCCCAAAGTCTCTTATTATTAAGGGGAAACCACGAGAAACAACAATAAAACTTAGGAAAATGTTGGAAAACATGCTTGTTTAGCATCATACCCAGATTAAGATAAGATTTATATCTACTTTATCCCAGTGAGTTTCTCTGTGTTAAAACTAGCACCACTATCTTAGCCTAAAGACTGGAAGCAAGAGGAGACAGTTAGTATCCATTAAGAGTAAAACAACACCAAAAATAGCCTTAAGCAACCGTCTTATTTGCACATTGTATATTGTCACTAATACTTCTAAAAGTCACCTTTTGTTCAGTTTTGACAGTCAGCAAAGCTGGACTGTTCAGATGCTAAGCAGGTCCAGCTGGGGTTAGTCAGGAAAGTAACTGCAGCATTTAAACTGATGCTGCACTCTGTCAGTGTTGCAACAGGAAAAACCTCAGTGAATCTGACTTGAGAGCATTCAGGCATTAATTATGACGGTCTTGCATTGCTAACCGTGGAGTTACACCATAGCTGTATTTAGAGAGTGACACCATATAAACAGGCAAAATTAGCTATTGTGTTGCATATTTGTAGCAGTTCATTAACAAGTGAAAGTGAGAAAGAAACAATCTGTGTCTTATTTATTTTTAATTAGCTGTACTGAATGTATTAGAGTTCATATTAGACTTTATATAGATTTAACTGCAAGTGGTGACGGTTTTGCAGCCACTTGTTTTGTCGTTAGTTTGTATTGTTGTTGTTTGTATTTTTATTTCTTTTTGCCAAATGGGAAATGTTGGTACAAAAAATTCCTGATATCTCCAATTCAGAATTTCAGCCAGAAAGCTGACAGGAAGGTTTTTTAAACCCCTGTTATAACAGTCTGTGAAATATGACATGAACATAGCTTTTCTTAAAACCATTTCCATGTGTGAAATGTGGATGATATGAGCTGTTGGAGGGACCACACTCAAAAACACAATCCACTGGTTCAAATTAAAACAATCAAGATAACAATTTGCATGCATCCTTTTAAGTAGTTCAGATTCTGGCATTATTGAGTAAATCCTATGAGTTTTTTTTAAAAACTGACAGTCTCAATTAGTTAGTCAGTCAGTTAGTACAACCAACATGATTTGCTTTGACCCTGAAAAACTTAATTAATTTGAACCAACCTAATGTTTATCCAAAAGTTGTGTTGATATTTAGTGGCCAAACTATTTTATCTAAGATGTTCTAAATTATTTGTTTTAATTGCATCGTATACAAAATATGTCAAATTCATTTTTGATTTTGACCAGTTTGTTAGAAGAAGTTGTCAACTGACTAACACATGTTAATGAAACACACTACATTTTTAATGCTGAAAAACTTATTTATCATAAGTTTTATCCACTAACCCCATGAATCATTTCTTTCCCCCTGCTTCAACCCTTTGTGCTAAGCTAGGTTAAACATATTCAAGCTATGTCTTGGTCATTGACACATAGAGAAGAACTTGATATCAACAGGCTGTAACGGCAGACATTTTGACTTAACATGAGTTGCACTGATTGCATGTGTTAGGGGTAAATGGAATGCAGTCATCAGTAATGTTAGTGATTACACCTGAGCCAGTCAAAATGTGTTCCTATAAAATTAAACTGACCTTGCATTGTTTCATTGTCAAATCTTTCACTCATTATTTTGTTTTGTGTGTATTACTGTGCTTCATTTTGCTTTCCCTATAACCCTTTCCACCCTTTGCCCTTCTTTGCTGTGCAGCGGATACGCCCATTGAGGAGTTTACTCCCACACCTGCCTTCCCCGCCCTGCAGTACCTGGAGTCTGTGGATGAGGGAGGAGTGGCATGGCAGGCGGGGCTCAGGACGGGGGACTTCCTCATCGAGGTAAGAGCTGTTCCATTTTTCATATCTATTTTTGCGGAACCTGCAGCTGTAATTATGAGTGATAGAACCTGGTCCTGCATGGTCAGGCAAACGATGACTCTGAGATTTTTGCTCTTGCAAGAATTGAAAGAAAACTGCCTGTGCTTATTAACACTGGTAAAACATGTTGGCTTTGGTTTCTGGTTCAGGTCATTGTTGTTGGATTCTACCTTTGCACTCCTGGTTGTTTGCATGTTGGTAATGCAACTATTATGCTCATGTTGCACTACGTCATTCTGGGTAAAGGAGTCAGAGGTAACATAAGATGTTCAGCAGCTGTAACTTGCTATGTTATCATATTAGTTCTAATACATATTGTGTTCTCTTGGAGCTGAGTTTGAATTCAAATGTGTGCATAAGTCAGCAAAGTGTGTGTTGTCTGTGCTTAGTTCAGGAGATTTATTGCTTGTTGAAGACACTGGGGAAAACAAGATTTTGTCATAATACTCAAATGCATATGAACCAGATCTCCCTTTAAATAAAACTGTTTAGCATCCCTTTACTGTGAAATTGTCAGAATTACTATAATTCATTGGATGCAATTGAAGCAACAGCTTCTCCTACCACTTCTCTTTGGGATAGTTACTTATAGATGGAAGTAAACATGTCATAGCAAAGTGTGCAGACTGCAGTCTTTGTCACTGGATGAATTGAGCTTACTGTTCGTTGACTTCATTGTTTTGTGTTTTTATTACTTAAAATGTATCTGCAAGTAATATGTTGTTGCTGCTTTAAAAAAAAAAAAAAAAAGGTTTTCATTTTATTCTTTTTGGCATAGCTCAAGTGCAAGTCCTTACCTGTACATTGCATTGTGATACCAAACAGACTCCACTCAAATGTATATGCAAAGGGATTTGATATTGCAGTGTATAGTATATTTGACTGTTTGATGTGTTCTCCCAACAAGCTAGGTTTCAGTGGACTGTGGATGATGAGAACATGAGTTTTATAGAAGAATTCTTTGTTTAGTCCAGGCTGCTGCATTTGTTAGAAAACATAATCATCATTTGCGTGTGTGAGATGCAAATCTGTTGGGGTTAAATACCACTGATGAATTAAATTAGTTTGAATTAAAGAGGTACTGTATTATTTAATTAAGATAAAGTGGTGTCACTTTTCATCTGTTGATTCACTTGTTTAGTTTATTAGACTTCATTTCAGCACCAGGAGCTGTCCACAGTATGACCTAATGAACAGCCTGGTGTGAGATGCAGAACAGGAACACTACCCACCTGATCTGAACATGAAAGTATTGATTATTAGGTTATTAAAAAAAAAAAACTTGTGTAAAAGTTGTGATTTTCCAGTAAAGCTCATTTGACTGAGGCCACGTCATGTTGATGGGGAGCCCTGGATTGCCTGTCAACCACTTTTATTTACCTGGTTGCTAACTCCAGCCAGCGCTGAAGAGGCTGCAGGGAGACATTTTGCCTTTGAGAAGCTTCTTACTCAAGTTCATGATGACTTTGTGTAGGTACAGAAAGTGTCACAGGTACTTGTCAGTCTGTGTGCTTGTTGTCCATCTAGAAATGAATGGTGGCATATTGTTGTAATGCGAGGAAAAGGGGTCATGTAGCAGCTCGTCTAGAATGTGCACTCAGTGATATAAAAAGGGAACTTACTTTTCAACTTTCTGGAAGCTGTTAGGTTTTGCTCTCAGGTTGTTTTGCTTTTAATTAGGAATGCACCAATATATCAGTTGAACATGGGTATCGACCGATATTTTCCTTGTTGACTGCCATTGGCCTATCAGCAAATAAGATGACATTTACCAGTTGCAGTGGCCGATGTTTTTTTTTTTGTTGTGTCACATCCATTTTGCGCAGGCTAAAAAGCAGGGCTCCAGACTAAACTCACTATCGTCATGTCAGAGGATGCAGCCTATTATTTCCCTGATAATGCTTCACTGTGTACAACTAGTTAACTTTGAATGTTGCCCAAAACTATCAGCTCATGGAGGCTGCATTGAGTTGCATTATGATGCTTTCAAGCTATATTCAGTAAAAATGAGTATTAGCTGTAGGCAAATTGTGACATTCTTATGATGTGTTCAGAGTAATTTTGTAACATGTAGGTTTAGGTGAGAAACTTGAATATATATAGCTGTTTGAAGTAGAAATGTGTTGATGTTTTCATAGCAATATAAAGTAGACATTAGAGAGGGAACTACGATGTATGAAGCAGTTTTTTAAAAGAAGTTTTTCATGTCAAAGGTTGTATAAATTTGTGTGATTGGATTTTTCCTTTTTTAAGGTAGTGTAATTAAGGGTGAATAACTATTAAACAGTTCAGATATTTTTTATAGTGTAGATTTCTTTTTGTCCCTGGCACAAAAAGGGGAATAATTGACAACAAAAATAAAATAAACAACAATATAAAGACATCAATATCAGCTATCGGCTAAATTGTTATTTTAAACATCGTTGTCAGCTCAGAATTTCAAAATCAGTGCATCCATGTTTTTAAATCATTTTATTTCTCTCTAAATTAGATATTTTTTGCTTCATACTTGGAAAAAAAAATCTTATCCCTATTCCATTAAGACAGATTTTGTACGGGTTTATTAAGATTTCTGTGTAGCCTAACAAATGAAGATGACACTGCGTTGTGTAAGCACCGCAGTTGTAACATTCAATGTCTTGGGTTATCTTCCAAATGCCCCCATAGTGAGGATTTGTTTTGTTTTTTTGTTGTTGTTTTTTTTTTTTTTTTCCAAAATGACTTGGTATAATCTTTAGTGCTAGTGTGTGTTTTACTAATGTGAGCAGGGCATCTCACTGAAATACTTCAAAATGCATTGCTTACATATTGGAAGAAATTTGATGTTGTACCCTCCCATATTACAAATCACATCACAGCTGCTGAGAAACATAACAGAGTCAGAGGAAAGGCACATTGTCTATTTTGAGCATGCACTCTTTCTCCTGTATGACTCCAGAACGACTGTGCGTCTGTAAGCAGCTCTGTACCGGGGATGGGTTTATTTTGTGTTTCTGCTAAATGGAGCATCAAATGAGAAGAGCAAACTGTATCTGTGTCTGCAGCTCTCTCTCAGTATGACTTCAGCTCGCTCAATCCTTATCTCTCATTTGTTTTTATCTCAAATTTCTGTTGACCCCTTTAATCGTCTCATCAGTCCGCTTCCGTCTGAAGTCAGTGCTGCAGATGCATCGCAGTATGAACATGTTTACAAAATGCATCGAAGGGCCTTGAAAATGTTTGACACATTTACAGCTGCACAGCCTCTAGCTAGTTAGCCATCCACAGCACATATTCTTTAATGAGTGTGAGCAGAATATCACCACTATTACTGACTGAATTCAGTCACTGTGTTTTTTATTTTCATCTAATACTGCACTTTCAGTCTAAATATTTGTTGAGAGATCCATTTGTTGTAGTACAGTAGAAACCTCCTTGCCCTCGCAGACGAAGAGGCCATTAACCGTCAGATGACGGGGACGGTGAAGGACGGGCCGATTTATGAGAGAATTGCCGAAGGACTGGCTAGCTGCGGCTTCCCTCCCACATCACTGTTTACGTCACATGCTGAGCTACACGTTTTGTTACTTGCTCACGCCCCCCATTGCCCCGAAAAAGGCGCATTCTGTATAAACAAACTTAGGTAGGCTGTATTTTGCGGCACTCCCCGATTTTGTTTTTATACTGCCAATGCTGAAAAAAGACTGACTGATTAAACAATGGGCTCTAGTTTCCCGCCACGGCGCAGGTGGCGCAGGGTGGCGCAGGGTGGCGAACCCCGCGCAGAGCTAGTTTCAAGCAGCACAACCCGAGGCGCGCTCAGTTTGGTAGTTTGGCAGACCAAGGTGCGCTGAGATGGGTGTGGCGGCGCAGCAGGGGGAGGTGCCGACAGATCCAGCTTGGCGCAGTGACAGTTTCGTGCCAAAAGGCTTTGCAGAAGGTGTGCTAAAAGCTCGCCATCTGAAACCAGGTCTACTGTCAGCGCAGGTGGAACGCAGCCAGTGTAAGCCGAGGTTTGGCTGACCGGCGGACAGTGCGCACACGTCACCAAAACCTCACAGGCAGGTTTCCAGAATATCAGGCACATTAACGATGCAATAAATACCCAAAAAAACACTATTCAATGCAACTATCTGCAATCAGCATATAAATGTATCTCTATATCGACTGTCCCGTCACATCTGATGTCAGATCAAAGGGGATTGGCACCGTTTGGCA